GGCCCCCGCCTCCTGCGCTCCCGCGCCCGCCGCGCGCAGCTCCGGCGCCCGCCCTTGCCGGTGGCCGAGCCATGGGGCAGGGGCGCAGGACACTGGCCAGGCTCATTCAAGGGATTGGCTTAGAGGTCGGACCGGAGAGAGGGTGTGGCGTGGCCAAGCCCATCAGCGGGGAGCGGGGATTGGGTCGGAGCACGACCTCAACCAAGGAAGGGGGCCTGGAGGTTGCGCCGGCGCAGGCAGCAGGGCTAGGGATTTGTCAACTCTGTAATGGAAGCATCATTAAAGGCCGGGTTCGAGGACTACCAGTTGGGCAAGACCATTAAAGGCATGGATGGAGGTGGCTGGGGCTTCTAGGGTAACAGGAGGTTGGATAAGAGAAATTTGGAGATTGGACAGGAGAGGGAGAAGCTGGACAGGGCCCTCGGAACAAGAGACCAGAGTAGAGGTTGCTGGGAGGGGATGGTCAAGGGGACAGGACTATCAGGAGACGCAGGGGCAAGGACCAGCCCGTGGCTCACTTGGGAGAGTGTGGTGCTGATAACACCAAGGCCACGGGTTTGGATCCCTCTATGGGGATGGCTGGTTAGCTCACTTGGGAGAGTGCGATGCTGACAACACCAAGGCAAGAGTTAAGATCCCCTTACCGGTCATCTTTAAAAAAAAGTGGGGGGAAGCAGGGGCAGATGAGTGGGCTCCAAGCCCCACAGGGGTAGGGATGATGCCTGAGGGTGGAGCCAGGTAAGTAGATGTGGTCAGATAATTCAGGACCTTCAGTGGACAGGGCCCTGAAGACATGGGGCTAGAGGACCCCAGGCACAAACTCAAACTCACCAAAGGATCCACATCCCCAGACTCCCTCATTCCCTTCAACAAACATGTTCAGGGGCTATAGAGTCCTCGGCCCAGTACCCAAACCTCCCTACCCAGGAGTCAGCTCCGTCCAGAGCAGAGAAGGTGTATACAGAGTCATAAAGTTGGCAAGAGGTTGGCATGAGGTTGAGGCACATAAGCCTGTTTGCCCTTCCTCTGTGAAAGGTGGCGCAAGAGAGCAATGGAAGCTGCATTGACCCAGACAGATACCACGTTTATTTCACAAATACTGGGAAGATGGGTTGGGGGTGGAGGTGGGGGACACAGGTGCACAGCTGCATAGAGTCGCCATCAGCAGCCCACTCCCCACGCTGAGGATTCAGCCTGGACTGCAGTGTCTCCAAGTCGACAGGCAGCGAGAGGTGAGTGCAGGGAGAGCCCTGAACACCAAGCCTCCTGAAAGGCTAAGGGGCACAGCTCCAGCTGTCCCAGGAAAACCAGCAATAAATAACAGTAGGGCACGGCCCCACCCACACAGATCATCTAGTCACCCATCTTCACTCTGGAGGTCTGCAAAAGAAGAACAGGAGAAATAGGCAGGTCTAAAGGAAAAGATAAGCCACTGAAAGACAAAAGATCAGATCCATGGCTGGATGGATGGACCACAACACATGGATGACTAGACCAGGATGGACACACTGTGACAAACATGAAAAGGGACAGTCATACAAGCATAAGTGAGGCTGTGGGACAGACGGATGGAGAGAAGTGGCATATGGACAGAGCCAGTCCCCAAGAGTCAACCCAGTCAAGCACCCACAGTCATACTCAGGCCCTTGGACTGATCCTCAGTCATAAACTCACACGTCAGACAGACAAGACACAATTCAGACATGCTGTCCTACTAACAGGCACATACATCACAGATACACAAACACACCAAGACAGACTTATACACACACAGGCAAGATCCCAACCTAGTCTAGACCACAAATAAATACAGAGACCGCAGACAGAAAGAGGATAACAAATAAAATGATAGAACAGAAAGACGGACTAAATAAGAGCTATATAGATACAAAGCAACAGAGAAAAAAACAGGAGTGTTGTCAGTGATACCAAAAGATACCATCAGAGACAAAAATACACTGAATGCCTCAAAAGGTGAAAACCAGAAGATGGGAATGAGGTGGTGGAAGGTGTCTGGGAGTCCTACGGTTATAGGTAGAGAAAGGGAGTTTTTTGGCCCATCCAGAATGTGGGTAAGGCTGGGTTGGGGAAAAAGGACACAGAGGCTCCTCCGGGGGATTCAGCACCTGAAGGATTGCGACGATGACCCCAAAGAGGCCGATGGCGCTGCCAAAGATCTCCACAATGAGAATCTTGACAAAGAGGCTGGGGTTCTGAGCATCAGCCAGGGCGGCCCCACTGCCCACGATGCCCACGCAGACTCCACAGAAGAGGTTAGACAGACCCACGGTGAGGCCAGCCCCAAACATGGAGTAGCCTGGGAGGAGAGAGAGGGGTGCACTGAGGACAAGCCAGGCACACGCGGAGATGAAGACAAAGGCCCAACATGGGCTAATGGGGCTAAACCCCACCCCAACTCTACAAAGCAGGCCCAAGTAGGTGACAGAATATCAAAACGAGGTGTCCAAACTGAGGGGGAAGCACGTGTGAAGCCCCAGGTTTTTGCCTTCACACACCCACCTACCTACCTGCATAGTAGTTTCGATGGCCGATGGCATGAGGGTCAGTAGCAGTGAAAGGCTGAGGAAGGTAGAAAAGTAAATCAGAAACCACCCCTTATACCACCCCCCCAACCCCCAAATCTCTAAGCTACGTGTCGAACATACTGGAATGGATGCCCACCTACACCCTGGTCTTCCATACCTCAGCCATGTTGCTAATGACAATTGCCATGATGATGCCATAGATGGCCACAGCCTCACAGAAGATGATGCTGGTAGTGGTAGAATAGGGGTTAGGAGATGGAGAGGAAAAAGAAATGAGAAAGAAACCAACCTTCTTCCCCAGAAACCTTTCCCCCACCACATCCCACCCAATCAGGAGGCTGGTCAGAAGCAGTATGTCAGGTCAAACACACAGGCATCTCCCAACACAGCTGGTTCTGACAGCCTACCAAGGGCTCTTACACTTACCTGACCAGGTTCTTGGTCTTGATCCTGGGGGCCTTTACCCCTCCTCCAATGATGGAGGAGCCAGTGATATAGATGCCCCTGGTGGAAGGAAAAACTGATGAGCAGAGCCCACGTGACACTGCCCCCAGGATGACTAAGAACCCAGTGATACCACCTGCCATGACTCAGCCTCTCCCCCGAGTCCCACCACCCCAGCACTCACCAGGCTGCCCCAACCACAGACAGGGAGATAGCTAGGCCAATGCCCAGGTTGGACCACATGAAGGGGGAAGTCTCAGTCAGGAACCTGATGTGGACATAAGGAAGAAAGCAATTCAGCCCTGGTGGGGAAGGGGCACAAAATCCTTAGCCTCCCACCCCACTCCAACCCCACGAGTCCTGGATGCTGCAACAGACTTCACATCTCCCAAAGGTCCATGTTTCAGGCAGCTAGGGGTGGTGTGGGGGAGGGGCTCAGACCTGACAAGAGGGAAGGCTGCAAGAGGAGCAACTCCTAGGGGAATCTTCTCCCTACCCTGCCTTACCATCCGACATCAAAGCGGAAGCCCAGGTCAAAAATGGTGTAGCAGAGTCCTGCAGCAGCGAGAAAAAAGGGGCTTAGAGGCTGCTCTCCAGAGAGAAGCTCCCCAACTTAGAGAAGAAGTTGCTGCCCAGCTGAAGGGCCACCTCCTCCCTAAAGTTCTGCCTACACTAAGTCAAGGGAGAGTCCTCAGCCAGGCCACCACGTGAAAGCACGGCTGTATCCAGAGTCCTCCGCTCAGGCCTCCATTTCCTGCCACCCCCTCAGTAACATATCTGCCTCCATGACACCACCTCTCAGACCAAGACCCTTCACAGGAACGCAGTGGAGAGAGGGAGGGAGGGAGCGATTGTTCTAGCCAGGCCCCACCAGATCCCGCCGGCCCAACCCCAACAAGCCGCTGTTTACCCAACAAGCTGTGGGTGGGGGGAGGGCAGAACGACCAGGAAAAGAGGAAGTGGAGCAGCCGGCTCGTGACCTAAACCGGCAGGCGCAGGAGCAAGAAAGGGGAGGCAGCAGTGAGGCGGGGGAGACGGCGGGAGTGACAGAAAGGGGCTGGTGCTGTCTTCACGGGGCCCGCGCCCTTCCGCAAGCAGCTGGAGATCCGGGTCTCCTCTGCCGGGGTCCGAGGCCCCGCAGGCATGAGGCAAGCCCGGGAGCCCGGCGTGCAGAGCCGGCGCTGGGGCTCGGTATTCCCGGTACCCGACTCCCCCCGCTGGGCTCCAGCCCGACCTCGATGCCGCCGCCGCCGCCCGCCAGGGCCCAACCTCACCCACGACCAACACGCAGGTCCAGAAGGCCACGAAGACGCCGGAGTACAGTAGCGCCAGCCCCGTCATGGCTGCGACGACAGCGGGGGTCGGATCGGTGGGGCCGGAGCTAAAGCCGCGTCCCTACGTCCACCGTCCGCCCCGCAGTCTGTCCGCCCGCCCCGCAGCGTCACCTGACTCGGGCACGTGACGCGCAAGCACCATGTGACCCCATGCGGGGCCCTGCGCAGCGTCGCTGTGCTAGAGCCGGGCAATGCCGGGACTGCGGCGCTGAGGCTTGTGGAGCTTGTAGTCGCGCGCCTCGGAATCCTCCTCCCTAGGCGCCAGTCCTTCTCGCGGCTCCCCACCAGCCCTGCTCTATTCCCCAGCCTGCTCGCCGGCCCCCCCGGTTCCGCCCCATCCACTGCCGATCCCTGGGCCTCCTCTCTGGCCCCCAGTTCCGGGGACGCGCCGCGCTGTCTTCCTCACCCTGCTCGTGCTGTTGCCCCAGCCTGAAGCACACCTCTGCCTGGCCAGCACCTACTGGTCCTCAGGAGTCATTCTTCCAGGAAGCCTTCCCTAACCCAGAGGCAGGGTAGTGTGCCTGCTCTGGGCTCCCATGATGCCCTGGTAAGCCTTATAAACCTTCGGCAAGATCAGGTCATTCCCATTTAAATGCCTCCATGGCTCCCATATCACTCAGAATGAAAGCCAACGTCCTTGCTATGGCCTACGAGGCCTCAGCCCACGTACTTATCACCATTTAGCATATTAAGTATCTTATTTTGTTTGCCCATCTGTCCCGGGAAAAGTGTAAGCACCGTGATTTGTCACACTCACTGCTGTATTTCCATGATTGGTACCCACCTTGTCCCACTTACCGTGATCAGTTTACATCTCTGCCTCTACTATTAGACTGGGCACTCCCTGAGGGCAGGGACATCTTTTTTCACCTGTATCTTTAACACCTGGACAATGTCAATATAAGATTCTCAGCAAACGTGGGGAATGAAGAGGTGTCTTTTCACTTCACCCCTCTCAGTCTTTAGGGTCCAGCAACTCCACTTTGCTGGAAGCACCGACCATATTGGTTTATGCCTGTGTTTCAGCCCAAATGTCCTTTTCTCCCGACAATTGTTTTTTTCCCCCACAAGATCCATCTCAGGTACCACCCACTCTGGGAAGCCTCCTGGGATACTTGTCAGGTGCCTCCTGTGGGATCCAGTTGCCCCTGGGGTTTCCCTCCCCACAGATAGTACCGTTTCACTATGTGGTAATAGCATATTTAACTATCTCTCTTCCCACCTACACTGTGAGGACAGGAATCTGGTTAAATAGAAATCACATTTCCATCCACAGGACCTGTAGTGTTTGATGAATGAAAAGAAACAGAAAGAGGGGCTGGCCTGGTGGCGCACTGCGCTAGCGCGCCGCTTGGGAGTGCGGCGGCGCTCCTGCCGAAGGTTCGGATCCCACATGCAGGCCGGCCACTCACTGGCTGAGTGAGGTGCAGGCGCAACCCCGAGGGTTGCGATCCCGTTGCCGGTCACGAAAAAAGACAAAAAGGAAAAAAAAAAAAAAAAAAAGAAACAGAAAGAGAAAAAGTATCTGGTTTATTCGAGTTTCTGTGATCTTCCTGAGAAACAAACCTGAGTCAGTGTAGACCAGCACTGTTGAACAGAATTTTCTGTGATGATGGAAATGCCCTATAGCTGCACTGTCCTCTCATGTGGCTCTTTGATCACTTGAAATGTGATGAATGTGACTGAGAAACTGAGCTTTTAATCTTAATTTAAGTTTAAATAGCTCCATGTGTCTAGTGGCTACTATACTGGACACTGCAGGTCTAAATTAGTGGCTCTCTAGACAGGGGGCATTTGCCAATGTCTAGAGACATCTCTGGTTGTTACATTCAGGAGGGGAGGAGGTGCTTCTGATGTCCAGTGGGCAGAAGCCAGGAATGCTGCTAAATATCCAACAATACACAGGACAGCCACCACACAAAGGATCAGCCCAAGAAGTCAAGAGTGCCAAGATTGAGAAACCCTGGTCTAGAACATCTAGCACCTGCCCTTTGAGAAGGAACTGGGATTGGCCAAAGGTCCTGGGGTACTCCCAGGACAGATGAGCCCGGAAGGCATCAGGGAAGCCCCTATGACCTTTCCCCTATCAGTCAAACAATAGGCTTTTACAAGACAATATGTGCGGAGCCTCGTGTCAGTGCCAGGACAGGACAGAGATGGATTCTATCCTCAGTGAGGGGCTGGCTGCCCTCTCTCCATCCAGGCTACTTCATGGATCCTGGTGGGTGATGAGAGGTTTAGTGCAGGGAGCACTAAAAGGTCCTAGCAGCGATTCATTATAGTCCATCTGTGTCTCTGGCCCCATATGGTATCAGCTGCTTCCCTCATCCTCATAGGCGATGGCAATCCCTCGTCTTCCACTCACAGCTTCTGTTACTGGTGTCTGACCCAGGCGAGGCTCCAGCCCCTGCCAGCTCCGGGAACTAAGGAATGAGGCTGTAGAGGGAGGGGGCTCAGGCTAAGTAGGCTGAATCGGGAGAAAGAGTTCAGCTGAGGGTGAAGGCTTGCACACTTACCTGCAGGGCTGATCTCAACCAGGTCTAGCTGGGGCCGCGGAGTCAGGGTTGAGCATCCAGGATCATTTGACGACTTCCAGGCAGCTGGGGGTCGAAGCTCCCCAGTGATGAGTGACACATCTGGGATGTCCCACAGCTCTGACTCAGGTGGTGGCAGGGGCACATGGAAGGGAGAGCCTGGAAGGGAGAAAGAAAGAAAATCCATACTGGCCCCTACTCCATGTCCCAAGTTTCCAGCTCAGGCAGTGCCCCACCACTTACCAGGCAACAAGTCCGCGTAATGTGTGAGGTGGGGAGCCAGGCCTGGAGGTGGCCAGGCAGGGTTGCAAGCAGCCTCCAGCTCGCATGGTGACAATACAGGCTGGAAAAAGCTACCAGAAGACTGGGGGGCTAGGGTACCCAGAGGACAGGCCAACAGCACAAAGACATCCACCTCAGGGAAATTAGCAAGCTTGGTGGGGGTGGGCCGCCCCAGGGCCAACACATAGCTACGCTTGCCAGCAGCCTGAGTCAAGTTCCGCAAGTGTGCCAGTGCCTCTTGGTGTCGGGCCACACCCAATGTGCCCGCCAGCAGCCCCACCACACGGGCATCTTTGGCCCTCTCTACCAGATATCGTCTTCGTGCCCTTAGCCGCCCGGCCCGGGCACATTCATCCTGAGTCTTCCCTGTGTCTGGGCAGCAGGAGGAGAAGGGCCGCCCTGGTGCCCACCCTAAGAGCAGCCGGCTCAGGTCTGGGTCAATGTCAAGGTCAGTGCTGGCCTCAGAGCCCCCCACATAGAAAGCAGCATACTCTTCCAGGCGCCTCCCTGGGGCCAGAGGGAAGCGGCGCCCAAAACGCTCCAAGAGCTCAGGCTCTGGACTAAGGGACTCCACTGGAAGGGGAAAAGCTGGGCTGGAGACTAGCAGGTCCTGGTACTGTGGGCGCAAGAGAGTGGCCAAGGCTTCTGTAAGAGAAAGAGGTGGTGTTGAGGTTAGGGCCTGGCAAACCAGGAGCTCCCTCACACCCAGGAGACTAAATATGACCCCAAAACAAAGGCTGGGCCCAAGCCCATATCAAGAGCTCTATGGGAGTATACTGAAAATGGGAAACTAAGGCATAAAGCAGTTGGCCCACACTTCCTGCATGCACAGGCATAACCCCTCACCCAGAGCATGGGCGCAGGCTGGCTCACTCAGGAGCACCACAGGTGCTGTGGGGTCTGGATTCTGGGCTTCAAAGGCCTTGGCACAGAGTTCCAAGGCCACAGAACGTTGACCAAGGACGAAGGCGACCGGTAGTGGGCGGGCTGGGGGGCTTAGGCAGGCGGGGCCAAAATGTACAAGTGCCTGAGCTCCAGCTTGCTCAGCGCCCAACACGTCCACACAGCAGCTGCAGGGGAGATACCATAAGTGAGAGGGGTTCCCATCTGGAGGAGACTCGCTGTCATCAATGGGAAATGTGGTCAGTGAAGAAAATGATGTCATGAAAGGAAGACATGTCGTTGGAAAAAGCTAGCATCAGGAGGGGAGTCATCATCATCACCATCACCAAAAAGGAGAAACATAGCCATCGGAGGCAGACACTCTTCAAGCAGAAACCCAATAAGCCCTGGATCCCCAGGCCTAGCCCACTTAATCCCAAGCATCATCATGATCATCAAGGTGAAACACAGCCTTTGGAGGCAGACTCTTATCAAGCTGAAACCCAATAAGCCCGGATCCCCAGGCCTAGTCCACTTAAGCCCAAGCTCACACCTGCCATACGCTGTGTCCCCCAAAATGAACATCTTCGACCCCGCGGTCTCCTCCAGTCGTGCAGCCACAGCCCCTGCATCGCCCAAAAGCTGGTCAGGAAACTGCAAGGCCACCTGTAAGCACAAACCACGGGATCAGGAGCAGCCTCTCCCCCACTGAAGGAGGAAACCTTCCGGGAGCCCCCGCTCAACCTTCAAAACCCCTGGTCCCAGAGGAGTACTCCGCCCCACAGAGGTGGAGGGGTGGTCCACACGCTGCGGGCAGACTCTGATTCCTCCACACCCTTCCGCTCACAAACTCTCCCAAGATCTGATCCAATGAGAGACCCTTCCCCAGAGAGGAGAACCACCCTGCCCTCACCCGTTGGCACCCCAGATCGCGGACAAATCCAACTACTCGCTCCAGCTCGTACACACGATCGAGGTCCGCGAGAGGAGTGCGCAGTCCTGGGACGCCCGCCTCCCGCTGCAACGCCGCTTCCGCGGGGCTGCTGAACGTAGACTCCATGAGGCACAGCTTGCGTGGCTAGGCGCAGCGAGGACCTCCCTCGGTCAGCTTCGGCGCCCGCGTCCACAAAAGCTGCCCTCAAGGGGTCAGAGTCGCTTCGTGGGATGAGGGAGAACCAGAGTCTATGCGGAGCCAGTGGACCACCTCCACCCACCCAAACACCTAACTCCACGAGGGCCTATCCGAGGAGATCATTTCCGGGTCTTAGAGGCGTGGCTGAGAACAATTTGACCAATCCGAAACCAGCACGGCTCCCGCCCTCCAGTCCTCGCCTCCAAAAACCACCCATCGAGAACCAATGATCTGCCTGAGCGCGGGGCTAACCGGAAATGCGTCAGAGGCAGGCGCGGAGTCTTGTGGGCGTTGTAGTTACCCTGCGATCCTTTCCAGGCGCTGGGTGTTTGGCGGTTCAGCCTGCCTCCTGCCCTCAGGAACACCGACTCCCTGAAAACGACTACCCGTAGTCATCGTTAAGCCTTGCATAATTTTAAACTCAGTGCTGAACTGCCTGGGTTTGAATACTAATTATCTATACGCGTTTTCTTATTCGCAGAATGGTGGGTTGTAACAACAGTACTTCCTAATAGGATTGTTGTGGGGATCAAAATAATTTATACATAAAACTACAAAGTAGCCCTTTGCATATCACATGCACTGAAAGCATTTGCTATTATCTTCACGTCAATCTGACAATCAGGCAAACATAGGGTTCATCAGGTACTACATTCTCAGTTTACAGTCTTTGAAGTAAGAAGGATCCCATTTTACAGACAAAGAAACTGAGGTTCAAAGAGGCTACTTAATAAGACACAGCAAGTCAGTGGCGCAATCAGCATCAAACCCAGGTCTACCGATTTCAGGAACTGACCTTTAGACCCCTCATTCTCCTACTTATATATGCTACATTTGTTCATGGGGTGGGATGGGGAAAGGCAGAAGAAGACACTTGGATACCATGTAGTAGGAAAAAGGACTAAAAGCATGTGAAATATCTCCACATACTCCAAAAGAAGTGAGAAATCAAGAATAAGGTAAGAATGGGACTGAGTAGGGGAAGGGGGACAGAGTGGCTTTGAGGAATAGTAGATGACAGAGGGAGACTGATGCTGGCCAGTGTGGGAAGAAGTTGAATGAAGAAGAGTGGAGGACATGGAACTTGTACAAAGGTTGGGAAAAGAATGGGAGAGAGTGGATGAACATAGGAGTAACCAGTTTCTTTATCACCTCCAAGGAGACTCAAAGCTCATGGATGGGAGTGGAGAGAACTCAGTCCTGCTCTTCAGATCTTACAGAGAAGGCTGGGGTGCCTGAGAGGCAGCCCAGGTGAAACTACAGCTGAGAACGCAGAAAGGGAGGCAACACTAAGGGAGGAAAGCAAGAGCAGGCCAGGAGCTGTCCCTGGTACTGACCGAGTCCTGACCAGCCTGTGCTGGAGGTTCAGTGGAAGTGGGGAGCTATAGATACACAGACAACACTAGGTTCGGCCTTCCTCCTCCTCTGAGGGCTGCAATGCCTTCTCTCCCTGGCCCCCCATTGCACACAACACTATGCCCCACTTTCTATAGCCCTCCTCAACCACGTGCAAGTTTGGGTGCTCTATAACCCCACACCAGAAACCCATCCAGGAGCCCAAAGCCCCCATCCATTTCTTTCCTCCCACTGGAGCCAGCCCCACCCCACTTCCAGCCCAAGGCCCCAAGTCGTGTACCTGGGAAAGCTCCTCTTCCCATCAGAAATGAAACTTCCTCCATGCAGCCTTCCCTCACTTCCCTCATCATTCTCTCAGCATGGCATCAGCCTTAGTTCAGGGCAGAACAAGGCAGGACAGAGCTGGGGGCCTAGTACTCAGCACTGTTGATTAAATGTATGTGTGCATGCACATTGGAACTAATTTAATGGGGTGGGGAGCTGCACATACTACTACAGCCCCCACCACACACTAAGGACAATGGTGGTATTCTGAACGGCACCAGCTAGGCAGCTTGGCTACAGCAATGCCTCTTCCACTCTAGTTGTCCCCACCACTGCCTACCAAGGCCTGGGTACAAGCGTCCTCCCATCCTTCCCTGAGACCTTCTGGGCCCAGGTTTTGAGTCAGGTGGTGGTGGTAGCAAAAAGGAAGCAGAGGCAGCAGTGAGGGTCCAGGTTTACTCTTGGGGATAGGGAGGGATGAGGAGAAGGGGTGGGTGGGACGGGGGCGCCCCTCAGTAGTCAGCTGTGTAATCTGTGCCATGTAGCCCCCGGCACAGCAGTGTGAACTCCTTCACCATCTCCTTCACCCGCCTCTTGTTCACTCGCTCACTGAAGGAGGGAAGAGAAAGCAGGTTAGCACCATGTACCACCACCGCCTCTTCCACCCTATCAGAGCTCAGGCCCACCCCACCTCTGCTCACCGAAGGATCTGCTGGCTGAAGGTGTCCTTCTGTTCTGGGCTGAGGCGGGCAGAGGGAAAACCAGGTGGCTGCAGTGCCTCCTTGATCCACATGCTCAGGAGGCTGAAGCAGTGTTTGTTCAGGGCAAACAGGATGTCGGCAAAGCAGTCCATGAGGCTGCGGGAAGCCTGGCCCCCAATGGCCTGAGGGAGAGGAGTTCTCAGCACACCAGGGCCTTATCGCTTTTGCAGCAAGGATGCCTAACCACTCCCTGAGTCCTCTGGGATGGTTCCTCAGCCAAACTGCACATCACACATGAGTGCAGCTTTTTGAGAGTCAGCTGATCCTCACAGCAACCCTAACAACTTTTAGCCATTTAATTGAGGAAGAAACAGAATCTGAGAGCTTCGGGAACCAAAGGCTCAAGCCTCCCAGAAAGCCAGCTGCCTCAGCAGTGAGGGCCCCCAACCCCATTAAACCCCCACTTGCTTCGTCTCACCTCCAGCACTGCTATGAGCAGCATACGACCATCCTCCTGTACCACCTTTCCCACAGACTCTACTTCCCCACACCGAGGCAGCAGTTCTGTCTGCAGAAGATGGAGAAGCCCATCAGCCCCAGCTCCTCCCCACCTCTCCCTGAGGACAAGACCTATACAGCACACCCCTACCCCCTGGAGTCCTGGGCAGGGCAGGGTATCGGAGCGGCGGGGGGTCAGGGGTCAGCATGGGACTCACAAAGAAGCCACAGGAGGCTTTGACAGTAGGTGCCTCGGGGAACTTGAGGGCCAGCACGGCTGTGGGAAAGGCAGAGGCAGATCAGATGGGGCTCAAGGATCCTCCCAAGGAACCCCAGGCCCACCTGTCCACTTGGCCCCACTTACCACACTGGAACACAGCTTTGACATCCAATCGTTCACACAGGAACAAATCTGGCTTCCGCTTCAGAGCCTGCAGGAGGTGGAGCTGGTAAGCCCAGCCCCAAACAGCTCCAAGGACCATCCCCCCACTCACCTGCCACCCCAACCTCCAATTTCACGCATCACAGTCTGCCAAACTCTGTAAAGTCTGCCAAAACTAGCCACCCAGCCATCTCTGGGGGACCCAGACCACCCCAGAGTTCAGTAGGTCAGGCAAGGAGCAGCCCAAGGGATGCATGTGCATGTATGTGTACATGAACGCACAAGTGTATGTGAGAAAGGTTGAGGGTGGGGGTCATGAGGCAGAAAGTTTGGGTCTCAAATCACTCCCTGAGCAAACACATTCTCCTGTTTCCTCTATCAGAGCCAGATCTCCTGCAGGCTCCAGGTAGCCAGCAGTGACTTTGTTTTGATTCAAAGAGGCAGTCGAGGCCCCCTGGGTTTGTGAACAGGTCAGCAGGAAGACATAGCAGCTAGACACAGAGCCCCCAGCCTAGCAGCCCCCTCCCATGTCCCACCTGCATTCCTCAGGCACCCTCCACTTCCAGTTCAAGAAGAGAAAAAGTAGGGCAGGAGCCTTGGAGCCTTGGCCCCACCTTTCACCCAGGATACCCTGTGTCCAGGCCCTTCTCAGCCATACCCACCCCAGGAGCCAATGCTGCCATGGGGGGAAAGGGGGGAGAAACAGATGGAGTGAGAGTGGCAGATGGCCCACCAAAAGGGGTACCAGGACATGACTGGCACATCCTCAGGTCACAGGACATGTGCTGCACAGCTCCAGCATCCTAAACACTGCTGTTCCCCAGCAATGCCCCCAGCACATACTACTTAGACCCCAACCCTCCAACCCCTCACATGTCCTCTACCTCCCATGTTCATTCATGTGCAAACACCTCCACGTGGACCCTCACTTGAAATGCCCTACTTACACACCTCTGTCACACCCCTTACATACACACACTCTTCCACATCTACAACACACTCTCACTACATGGTCACAAGCCTAAACACCCCCACATCCCCAAACCATGTCCACACACCCACACCCTAAACCCACCCACAGTCCTCCAGCACATGTAACTCTCCCCACACACCCACCCACAAATGCACACTCAAACACCCTCTCTGCCAAGGATACACCCTTGCAGATACCCACACACATATCCATCCAAGTCCAAAACACTCCCCATTCCTCACTCCTCCCATGACCCCCCCCCCCCCCCCCCCCCCCCCC